GGGTTATTTACTAATAGTTTATTATAATTTCGACAGAATTTAGACAGTCACTAAGAGATTTTGGCAAGCAACCTTAGGCTCGAGCGTTGTGGTTTTGCAATAGGATCATCTATAAAACTAGTAACGTTTATTGAGCAAATCAAAGAGCAGAAGTTATTCATCATATAAATCTCTGGACAACCTGAAAGAAATACTTCAGAAAAACAAGGTTAATGGGGAGAATATAACGAATATCAAGCAGTTCACACCTGGTAAGCTATATATTATTTTTTTGGCATTTTTTGGGACAACCAGCAAATTTCTGTAACTTAGTTATGTAATATATATATATATTCTCTAGTATTCGAAGAAATAGACGATAATGATAAGGTCTTCAATCATTGTATGGATGATATAATCCTGAAATTATCAAACATAGAGACTATGATGGATGCCAATGAAGCAACGCGTTGCGAATTTATTTCAGCAATTCTACATGCATCGATTGATATAGCTAAAAAACATACATCTGAGGATATTTTCATTGCCTTGCAAAAGGATATTTCTGGGGAAGAATTAACAGGTCAGGTCAACTATGCAATCAAGAGTGTAGAGGATCTTCTTTGCATTACTGAAGCCAAACCATGAAATATTAGGATAGGTTATGCTCAAAATTTGCCAGAACTTGAAAGTGCATACCAAACTAACAAGAAAAAAACATAGTGCGGATCAGGCATTTGGAGATTATTTTGATTATCTCTATGGGATCGTGTCAACAGGTATGTAGGTTTTCATGATAAAAGTGATCTGTGTTCCCAAACAGAATGCGGAATAATTTAGATTTTTTCTGATGCTAATCATTGGATTTATTTTTAGCCATGGAATGGCATTTCATCATATATACACCTGAAGGAATATATGCTACAAGTAATAGCGAATATCAGATTAATCTTTCAAAGACCGCAATCAAAGAAAACCTTGATGTTCTACGGAGCAGTGTGAAAAAGGTTATAGGAATCATTGTCGGGTTGTTGAAAGATCGGGTAACGGTTGATAACTCTCCTGCTAGTAAGAGGGTTCAAATCAAAAAAATCATTAAAAAGTAACTACTGTGTTGCTTCCAGCAATATGTATTCCGGGCTAAGTCCCGAACCTTTGTATTTATTTTTACATGTATTAGCGTGAGCAAGGCTTCGGCTAATAAAAATTTTCTTGGTAAATTTCGCTTACGGGCCGTGAGGAAAAACACGTGATTTTTTTATTTTGAATATATCGTATAATTTGTAAAAAATAATGACAAACACTCACTCCGTTGATTCATTAAGAGAATTAAATGCTAAACTCTTAGCTGAAATTGTAGAGCTTAGAAAGGAGAATGCTGAGATTCCTGATCTTAAAAGGAAGTTAGCCGAGTTTGAATCAGAGAAAGTTGAGCTTAAGGCCAGGCTTGCCGAAGCCCTAAGTCAGGCTGTGGAAGAGAGTAAGAGACGTGATGCTGAGATTGCCGAACTCAAGACTAGAATTGAGGAGTTGGAGAAATGTAAGGTAGATTCTTCAGCCGAGAATGTTAGACGCGATGTTGAGTTTGCTAAGCTAAAGGCCGAAGTAGTGAAACTAGCCGAAGGCGCTCAGGCAAGGGATGGCAATGAGGAGAGCAAACAGCCAGCCCAAGATATTTCTTCCGAAGTAATTGTCAATGTACCTAGCACTATTATAGATCAGTGTAATAAGGGGTTCCAAAGGGACCAGGTCACTTTTCCGCCATCTTGTGTGAGTGATCAGAAGTCATCGGAGGATATGAAAATGGATACTTTCTTGGATGATGCACATAAGAAAAGTGTTAGTAATGGGATAAGGCAACGTAATAGGGAGAAGAAGCTATTGCATGAATCGAAGTCATCAGATAGTACAGAAATCATCCTGCCTTCTACTTCACTAATGTCGCTAGAAGAATCAATTTCTGGAGAGCGGGGTTGCGTGGTGATCACACCAGATAATTCATCTGAAGTCTCTGAATTTTCGGATTCAAAAACTGTGGAAATACTTCAGGACCAACAACAGAACAAAGAAGTTCGATCACATAAAAAGAAAGAAGTGGAAAATATCGTGCAAGATGTATTTGATTTCATCGTGGATGAATCTGATAAAAATCACATGACAAAATTTTCGATTACGGGCCGTGAGGAAAATTCAGTTGCATTGAATAATATAGCCCGCTTATACGAAGATGCATGTAATGCAGAAGATAAAACGATAAAAGCCAATCAGGCAGAAATTTTATGCTGGT